TGGCATGTGGTGCTGGGGGATTGAACCGCGGTCCCTGATGCTTTGCCAAGCTTGTTCTAAGTAGGTGCCTTAGACCACTGAGCCATCTCTCCAGCCCCTTCTATTACTTTTAAATGTCCTTCCGTTCAATATATTTAGGAAAAATATATCAAATTTCCAAATAAACTTTTATTTTCAAGAGTAACAATTTATGTAAAAATGTTTAAAACATTACTAATTTCATTTCTTTATCTCACTATGAGACCAGTTTGTACCAATGCAAAACATGTTTCCAGTATGCTAAATTAAGTGCTCTTACTGTATTTATTTCTTTATAAAATGCTGAAATTTTAGAAAAAATTATTTAAGAAAAAGAAAGGCTACAAGGATAGCCCACATATTGGCCCTATCACTTTGAGGTCAGTGAGGACTCAGGACATAGGCGAACCTGTACTGGAACATCATATAACTCAGTGGTGTCCCAAATTTCTTGATCAAGGAGATTATGGGGCCACAGAGGAAAGTGATTGACAATGTAGAATGTGCCTAAGGAGAGTCACATGGATAGAAAACATTCTTTCAGGCTTTCACAGAGAGCACATTGGTCAAACAATGCCTGTGACTCATCCACATGGCTGACACTGACAAAGGATCTACAGACTGCGGAACAGGGTTTCAGGATAAATCCTGAGGGGATTTGACTGATCTTATCAGATACAAAAGCTACATTTCTTGTTATATAGGTCTTACTTTATCTTGGTCTTAACCATCCAACAGAAAAGTATAAAAACGAAATATAAAAAGCAAAGCCATATTAATATGCTGAACTGTAAAAGGCTCAAGTCAACAACTTTTAACATTGCCAGTCATGTAGATAACCCATTACTATTATAGACTACTGGATTATATTGATTACTTTGCTGAATTCATGCACCTACAGTATACGAATGGCAATGGAATACCCACCTCAGACAAAACTAAACAAAAAAGGGGGATATAAATGAAGGACAATTTTTTAGTGAAAAAAAATATATCTGTATATACAAAATAGTTAGCATAGATATACACCTTCTTTTTCTTAGTTCAATGAGAAGAATGTTTTGAACTAATAGTGTTTAGACAAGATTTCATGTCTGCATCTTGTACTATGAATAACTAACTACTACAAAGACAACACTATGCAATGTAATAATTATTATAACTGTCCTACTAACCTGTTTTGAAACTGTCTCATTGCTACTTCTTTTCAATAAAATTAATATAAAAAATAAAAATGATTTGTTAAAAAGAAAATTATTTAATGTGTGTTCTGGTCATGCTTTTAGCAAACATAACTAAATTTAAATTATATATACATATATATGTGCAAGATTATTTCAAAATGGATACTCATTTGCCAAAAGCATAAGAAAAGATGAAATCTAGATTGTTGTGAATTGTCTGTTCTATATCTGGTGGTAAGGTTGCTATATCCCACTTTTTGCCTGTATTATTATTATTATTTTTATTTTATGTATTTGGTACCGGGTCTCACTACGCACCACAGACTCACAGTGATCCTCCTGTTTTCAGCCTCCCCAGCACTGAGGTTACAGGCTCACATGCCCGTGTTGGGTCTCTGTGGCCAGGGGCGGGGCCAGCACAGCATGCGGTGCCAGGATCGAACCCTGGTCTCCGTACTTGTCTATGCAGGCGCTCAGTCCACTAAGCATCTCGTTGGCCCTTTCTTTTTGTTGTTGTTGTTGTTTTTCAGATTCTTTTTTTCCCCATAATTTTATTGATAAACAAATATCAATGAGACAGTTTCAAATCAAATTGGTAGGACAGTTTCAATAATTAGCACATTGCATACATTCTTCCTACTGGTTAATTGCTGTACAACATGCGAACATGAGATCCTATCCACAAACACCATTAGAACAAATCCCTCTATTCATTAAGAGAATGTAACTATATATCTATCCTAACCACTTTGAATACACAGATACAAAATGGATATTCATCTGTGTCCCTTTTTTTTGTTAAGTTCCGTTATTTGAATATTATAGGTGTGTAAACTCAGCAAAATAATCTAAAAGAGTTCAGTAGTCCATAATATATTGTATTGGGTCTTCTGCTTTACTGGCAATGTCAGAAATTGTTGACCTGAGTCCCCTACAGCTCAACATAACAGCATGGCTTTACTTCTTATACTTCATTTTTATACTTTTCTGCTGGATGGTTAAGACCAAGGTAAAGCAGGACTTAGGCAACAAGAGTTGTAGCTTTTGGGTGTGATAAGGTCAGTGAAATCCCCTCAGGATTTATCCTGAGATCCTGTACCCCAGATTGTTTGTCAGTGTCAGCCATGTGGATGAGTGACGGCCATTGCTTGGCCAGTGTGCTCTCTGTGGAAGCCTAAGAGATCGCCGGCCCTTTCTGCCTGTCTTTATCGGACAGTAATGCACTGATGCATGTCATGCTTCAGTTTGTGCACACAGAGCTAAATCTTTTAATGTACTCCTGTGATTTTGCCAAGAATATCTGTCACTCAGTTTAAATTCACTGAACTACTGTTTCCCTTGAAAAAAGAAAACATTTAGGCTACTTTTTAATTCTTCACACAAGTCTTTGTATATGTGGCTAGACTTACTTTAGAAACAATTGCCCATTCAGCACTGGGAACTTATGGTGAGATGAAGCCAATACAAATGTTCTCATTGGGTCATACAACTTTAAAGTTAACTTAGTGAAACATCATGTTATTGTACAGAGGTGTACAAATGTAAAATTTGAAACTTTTAAAGTTTTGATGTAGGTATATAATATTCCATGTTTATGTAGTTTATATAAAGCAGTTTTAACTTCTCTTGGACATTCTGATAACATTTCTTCTAGTTAAACTTCTTCTGCTCTGAGAAATTAATACGTAGGTAGAACTCATCTGGGAAACAGAAATGTGCAAGCAGTGTATACTGTGTCACCCTTCTGGCCTGTCACTTTCCAAAGGACAAATTTCTTGCAGAGCCTTGTCTTCATATCGTCAGTGTATGTCACTCTACAGGCGGTGAAATTCCCCGCATGCAGAGGCACCTACAGAACAACACAGCACAGCACCGTATTTCCTCCTTGAGCTTGGTTCATGATTAAGCCGCAGAAGAGGTCAAGGAAACAAACACAGTTTAGGATCCAAACCAGGAGTTCTGGGTAGACCTCCAGATGGTCATGTTAAGAAAGTAGGTTTTCTTCACTTTGCTTTGATACTTTCTTTCTTTTTTTTTTCCAGTACCAGGGATTGAACTCAGGATATGGTGCTTGCCAGGCAGGAGCTTATTCTACTGAGCTATCTCCCTGGCCCAATACTTTCTTAAGTAAACTTAAGTAAAACCTGGTGATGTGGTATATTCCTGTAACCCCACTGCCCTTGTAGGCTGAGGCAAAATGACATTTGGAGCTCAGTCTCAGCAATAGCAACTTAGGGAATTAGCAAGACCTTGTCTCTAAATAAAAACAAAAGGACAAAACTAGCTCGCTGTGAAGGCTTGGGTTCATTTCCCAGTACCACAATCCGAGCCACATAAGCCAAAGCAAAACAACAAGCCAGTAAAGCTACATTCAGCTTTTGTAAGAGTACTCATAATTAGCCAAATTTGCACACAGGATATACTTCATCACCACATTTAGGGTGGTTTATAATGTTTTAGAAACACTTGGTCTCTAGAAGAAAGCAATGTTTTAAAGTGAAATAGTTGAACAGAATATTCAGGCACTTTATGTGATATCTACTGAGAAAAAAAATACTCATGAAATCAAGCTTTTGATCAAATTCAAATCAAGTTAAAATCAGTATTTGGGCGTGACACAGGTGGAAACTCTGCCAGGGACTCTGTGCTGTGGTTGAGCGATGAACGCTGGTAGAGACGGCATCACCTATGTGTCTGTCCCCAGTGCTGAGCACGCTGTCTGCTAGGATTGTAGGCGTAAAACAAAGGGCGAGACCACTAAAATACATGTGCAGAAGAACAGATTCTGTGGTGGAGTAGAACTATGTTGTAAAACAGAATGACGGTGGTGGATAATACCATAATATTTGCTTGAAATTTGCTAA